GTATATTATTTACCTTATTATGAAATGTGTGTCAGGGTAGGGGCCTCAAGAGCAGTCATACTTCAGTAAGGAAAGAGCATGAAGGCAAATCAGTATGTGCACCACTCCATCAGGAGTTTCATATTCATCAGGTGGATTCCAGAAGCATCTTGTTTCATTCTCCCTCAGTCCTCTTCCTCTCATCTAGCCAGTGGCTGTGAGTAATCCCCAGGTGGAGAGAACAGTCTTTGTTTAAAGCAGCTTTGACCTGAGGGTTTGGGGGTATGTTGATATTTGTCGGTTACTGTGACTTCTTTTTTTTCCCCCTTCAATTGCATCAAACCCTTAAAACATGGTGGTAAGTGAGCGATATGCATGCTTTTGGAGTTTGTTTAATCTCCGCTTCAGTCTATACAATGCACAGTTCATAATGTTAACACTTTTCTTCAAGTTTACTTCATTCACTTTCACAACTAATTTGGATTTTTAGTTTGCTGTTTAGTCCTCATTTACTTTATTTTGTGCCTTTCTCTGTAGCTCTGTTCTCTCCTGACCTTCCTGTGGAGGTCAAGTTGTTCTTTTGTCTGACCTGTATGGGAGAGTGATGCTGCAGGCAGTGGCTCAGCACAGGAGAGGAGGGGGGGCGTGTCCTCTGCTTTGTGGTATCCAAGTGGATTTGGGAATGAAGCAGGGTTTCTGAGATTTAGACACAGTGTGAGTCACAGCTGCTCCCACTTTCAGGCTTGGCAGCTGCACCAGAAACACTGTTGCTCACATACTCATATGCAAACCCTTGCATGTGGCCAGCTTGTTAGGTTGGAAAGTGACATTTAGACACCAGGGTACACCCCATGCCAAAAGAAAGGACTGTGGTGTGAAGTGTGCTTGGGGTAGTCTAGTGTCCTATTAGGAGAAGACTGGCCTTGCTATTGTGATTTCCCCCCTCTCCTGTCTTTTAAAGTTGGGAGTAGATTTGGCTGTCTTGCATTAGAATTTCGTATTTTGGGGTGCACACTAAAATTAGTTTGTTCCTGTGTCGTCTTTAAATTCTCAAGGTGCTTAGCTTCTAGCATGTTATCTGATTGGCCTGCCCTGGGTGCTGAGCAGTAGGCTGTGGAGAGGGGAGGGTTCAGGCTGGGCTTGTGTGTCTTAGTACTTGGTATGTCCTTGTATCTTTCCACTGCATATACAGCAAACAGATGTCTTGGGTGTCCTGAGTCCTAGTTTGTTCTCTGTACCTGTGTTAATAGCACTGTTAGTAGTGGACTCCTATGGACACTGGTATGTTGCTAGCCTCTTGTTTTGCTGATGAGTCATTGGTTTGTGGTTAGTTTTTTTTTTTTTTTTTTTTTTTTTTTTTTTTTTTCTTTTTTTGTTTAATCCTGTTTTGTTCCAGTCACTGTGTGCTGGCGGTGGCTTTGCGTTGCCTGAAAGGAACAGGTGGAGCAATGTCTCCTTGACAGACATTACTCCTGACATGTGCTCCTGCAGATGCCTACACCAAGATTGTAATCTCCATAACTGCTTCATGTGCACCAAGCCCCCTTGTGGAATCCTGCTGAGAGTTTTTCTAGATGCCTTCAGTAAAAGCACACAACTGTTGTACAGTAAAAACAAGGGTGCTTATTTGTGCCCTCCCCTTTGTGGGTTTTTAAATAACTTTCTCAATGTATGCATATCTACTAAGAGAACAAGATGTCAGGATTATGAAGTATAATTAATAAGACTTCTAAACACTAATAACAAAACTTTTTTTAATTAAAAAAAAACAAACATCTCATGGCTTTTCTTGTTTTGGCCAGGGCACAATAACAAGCCCATCTTTTCATGTAGTTTTTTAGAGGGGTGTCACTGTTTAGCTGTCCCTGTGATGTCAGAATACCCTCTGCTTCTCGTGTCTCTTGCTGGCCAGCCAAGGATTAGGTTGAACTATTATGGCTTCATCTTCCTCAGTCTCATGCTTCCGATCAGTGACCTCATAAAGATTGTAAAACAGCAGGACAAACAGTGCCCTCTGGGGAAATGAGGATGTGTGGTTAAATGTATATAAATGTACACATCCATTTACATTGAAGAACTGCATACATTCTCCACAAGAAAACAAACAGCAGGATTTTACAACTGAAATGTTGGTTTGTCTTCTCATCTATTTATGAGTGAACCACTGGAACTTGGGGACAAGATGAGTACAATGATATTGCAGCCTATCTGTCCGCTACAGTTGCAGTTTTTCATGATGAGCATTCAAAGTGTTAACTAAAACCATTGAAAGAACATATCTGCCATTAAAACTGAATCTAGAAATAACTTCATGAGTGTTTTGCACCTCCAGATGGAATGGCCTTTAATAAATGCTATGAATAGCCATGTTTGCCACTTGCAGTTTACTGTCCTATTCATTCTTATGCAGAGTCTAATGGTTTTCTCCTTTCTTTTATATCTCATGGATTATTAAAAACTGAACACCTGATGTAGATGATGAACCAGCTGGACCAATGTGAGTACTTCATTGGATATGATTTTACAGTTTGATTGAATTGCGTTGTGTTTGCAGTTTAGTCAAAAGGAATACTAAAGATTGTAAGAGAAGGCAATTCCCTTACAATAAAAGTTGCAGTGTATACTTTTTAAGCCTGACATAATTCAACTGGTGACTTTGATTCTTAGGCCAGGTCTTATTTTTAGCCATACAAGTAAATAGTATACAAAAGAAGTTGAAAAGAGTTTATGTATTTGACATGCTTAAGCTGATAAACTACTGTCTAGTTCTATTAACAATTGCTGACAAGAGATGGAGCTGTATCATGGAATGAGTCCAAAGCTACCAGGCTTTCCTAGAGTTGGAGATTATGAGAAGGCAGAAGGGCAGCTGGTGGGTTAATGGCCAAAGGGGTCAGCATAGCTAGTTGCTGGTCATCTTTTAAGAAATTAAGTGTTCAAAGGATTAAGTCTCTTACTTTTGTAAGTAACTATAGTTTGGAAATCTAAGGGAGCTGGGTGTTGGTGGCACACACCTTTAATCCCAGCACTCGGGAGGCAGAGGCAGGTGGATCTCTGAGTTCGAAGCCAACCTGGTCTATAGAATGAGTTCCAGGACAAGCTCCAAAGCTACAGAAAAACCCTGTCTAGGGGGAAAAACTAAAGAACTCTAAGGGAATGTTACCTGTGTGTTTTCTGCCTTGGGAGTCTGAAGAATCTAATCATTGAAAGTAAGAGGTACTTTATGTAAGGAATGTTGTTACTTACTAGTGTTAGAAGTAGAGTTTGCTGCTACACCAGGGATGGAAGTGAAGAGTCTCTGTTTCCATGTGTTGCATTTTCAAACAATATGACTAGTTGAACTCACACAGTGCAATTTTTCCTCCAAAGGAAAACCAACTCTACCAACAATCACAAAGATAAAAACTTGCGCCAGAGAAACACAAATTAAGTACTGCTTATAATGTAAGTATGGCCTTCTTTAGAGATTTAAAAGTTCTATTCCAATGAACTGTGCCTCTGCTCACCTTGCTCCAAATTCAGTAGTAGTTATGTGGTAAGACCTTATTGTTAATTTCAGAATAGCTAATACTGATGGAACAAATTCTTTCTGTTCACTACAGTGTATGGAAAGGAATGTAATTCAGCATATTTATATGTCACATATTTGTATTCGGTTTGTTTCACAATAAATAACCTTGTATTGTAGTCTACTTTTAAGAGAAATAAATTATTATCTTCTTAGGTAGAGTATCCCCAAAGGCCTATTAGTACCATGTGTGATCTCCGCTGAAGGCAATACATAGACAGTGGCCATCAGGCAGCATACTTACACACATGGAGATCAGAATTTCATACCACATCCCTGAGCATGTTCTTTGAACCAAAGCTTTATTTGATGTGGCACTGACATAGCTGTAACAGTAACAGTGTCTATTCTCTTAATTTCCAAATATTTCTTTCTTTACAGCTCTTTAGGTTCCTGAAAATGGTGGCAACACGACCTGCTAAATTTTCTGCTTGGACCTCTTTGGTCTCTCCCTTTCAAGTGAGCAACACCACAATGACCGTCTAAAGCATGCCTTATTTAGCCTCTCCTATAAGGGTGACCTAGCCAGGTACATTTTAAACAATGCTTCAGTGTAGAAGGTGTAAACTATTTTGGGCTTGATGTGCTGTGAATGTTGCTTCCCTTCCCTTTGTTAAAATATTTAAATAGAAGTGGAAAGGTCCTCCAAGGATCAGATCATGCATGCGCCATTTTTTATGCAGCTGTTAAATTGGCAAAGCTCTAAATGCACTGCTGCCATCTAGTGATCATTTTGTAAAGTACAGCAAAACATACAGATATATACAGTATATAAATATATATATATTTATATTTTTGGGGGTGGGAGAAATCCAAAATAAAGTAAATGCTTGTTTCATTTTTAAGCTGCTGATACCCATTCCTTATTGTCTGTTGTCAGATGAGGAAGCTGCAGTTCTGTCTGGTACATAAAGATGAGAGTATAAACTTAAGTCTGTCATTCTAAGGGCTTACCCTATAATTTTTAAGAACCTGGAACAGTCCACTGAACGACTATAATGAATTGCAGTATATATGTATGATTGCTTTTTAAGTGACTATTTTTCTTTTGTCAAATCATGTAAATTCTGAAATCTTTTGCACTGATGTGTTGAACCTTATTCTTGTATATTCAATCAAGGCAACTTTTATAATTTCCCTTTTGTTTCCAATGACCCTGAAATGTTAATAGCATGGTGATATTCTATGCAACTCTAGTTACACTTTTTGGTTTGACACTGTATTTTTCACATTGATTTAATGATTGATGATAGATTTTATAACCTGACTGGGTTCTCATGCGGTACTAACTGTAGATGCATGTACTTGTGTAATTATTGAAGTGCAATGGTGTACAAAAAAAAAGTGGATTCACCTGTTTTTAACAATAAAACATTGATAAAAGGTGCTTGGAATAATATTCTTTATTCAAATACCTTCAGTTCCTTAATTGCATGTGTGTACAGGGCTTTAGTTTCTTAACTCTGTGTGATCTTTTTAAGTTCTTTCTCCACCTCTTCCACAAACGCTGGGAAGTTTTGATCCATGAGGCATAAGCGCAGAAAGGGGCCCAACTCTTCTGCTCCCCATGAAGATTGTTCATAGGCTAGGGGCAGCTTCTCGGATGCCAGGATAGTCTGCAGAGGTGCCAAAAGAGGTAGGAGTTGATTGTAGGTGGGAACACTATCCCAGATGATATAACACAGGAAACAATGCCTTAAAATTCAGAAACACATACTGAAAACTGAACTGTTACTGGCTTTATAAAAGTCCTTTTCTACACATAGGTTTCACTTTGTTTGTTTTGATTTTTTTGTTTTTTGAGACAGGGTTTCTCTGTGTAGCTTTGGAGCCTATCCTGGCACTTGCTCTGGAGACCAGGCTGGCCTGGAACTCAGAGATCCACCTGCCTCTGCCTCCCGAGTGCTGGGATTAAAAGCATGTGCCACCGACGCCCGGCTAGGTTTCACATTTATAATTTTGTGTTTACATTTCCTTCTCCCCCCCCCAAAAAAAAAAAAACAAAAGACCAAACCAGATGACCTAGGCTGTCTCAAGTCCATGGTCCTGCTTCTGTGTCCCAAAATACCTGTATTATAGACAGGTACTACTTACTGTGCCCAGCTCTACATTTTCTGGATATACACAAAGTGAGATAAACTTGGATCCATTAGGAGATAGATAAAGTTGAGATCTGGATAACAACCATTATGCTACTAACATTCTTCATTGGAAGTTGGATTCTGAATGGAAGAAATAGCTGTCTACCTGGGGATGTAGCCTAGTGGTAGAATACTTGCCCAGCATGGATAAAGTGCAGAGTTTGATCTTTAGCATCACCAACAATAGCAGGATTGGGGGAAGTCATTGTAAACGGACCATCTAAAGGACAAAAATCATGCACTTTTTTTGGGGGGGGGGTTTGGTGGGCATCTGAGTAATTTTACAAAAACACGCAACCTCTCCTATAGTTAAAACATAGGATATTTTATGTTCTAAAAAAAATCTCTTGTGCTGCTGTTGATTGTTGTCAAACCCCTAAGGCTGGATAACTATGAGTCTCTCCTCCAACCTTCACATTGTCTTTTCAAAAATGTCATTTTGTATGATAAATCATAGTGCAAAAAACCATAGTGCAAACAGTCCCTTTTTAATGAGTCTCAGTCCCTTAATTTCTTGACAGTGGAATAAAAGTAATATGTATTCAGTAGATATTGCACTTCAGCATTTGTCCTTTCCTTAGACAGCTACATGAGAACTCTCTCTGGTGATGCAGACAACGTGGTGAGCTCTGGCTTCCTGTCCCAGGCACAAAGGCCAGCAGCCTGTACTCCACGCTTATGGTGCTAAGCTATATTATTCCAGGGTTAGATGTTCGGAACATTTTAGCTATTTCATCTTAGAATGACTTGTGGGCATGCAGCTCATAGTAGGCTTTTATACTCCTCTGTGCTTGAAACTAGGATGTTCATAGTAAATGTTCTGGAAATGGTTCCAGGGCCTTCTTTACCAGAGCCCATGTTTAGAAAAATAGCAATAGGGATTTTTTTTTAATGTCTTCCTACTTTCTAAAACTCCATAGTTGAGACTGTAGCACTGGAAGTTGACCCTGCAGGAATTGTAGAGTCCAGATTTGATTTGGTTATTTGTTGGAGAATAATTTACAATCTTAATTCAAAAATTAAATAATTTCTTTTATTCTTTTGGGGAGGTGGTGATTTAAATTCTTTATAGCACAGTAAGCCAGTCTCCTTCATTTCCTTAGGTAGCAGGCAGTCTACACAGTGCTCCAAGGGCAGGGTAAATGGTATAACCCATCCTTACTTTATGTTCACTAAGCAAGAGAAAGAACTGAGGAATACAAATTCTTGTGAACTACCATTTTTAGGGACAAACCCCAGCACAGAAATACCTGAGCTAGATGCATCACTGAAGTCCTTCCTTCCAGAGTGCCAGTACCCGCTGCCACACACATCTGCTGCTCAAGGTTCAGGTAGGACTGCAGAGAAAAATGCAGTTAGAGGAGGGGGTTAGAGATTTAGCTTAGTGGTGGTGGGGTCCTCAGCTCTAAGGGTTCACCTTCAGAGACAAATATATAAAGAAAAGTAGTTATTAATCACACTTAGGGACAGTCCTGGTGAGGCCTTACTTGATCTACCACAGCACTGGGCGGTCTCAGGCTGATAGGCAGTCAGGGCCTTGGTAGCCTCCACAGCACACTTCTGTCCAAAAGACCCATGCATGACTCAGGATTGTCACCCAAGGAAGCAAGAGTACTGTGTGCTGCCCTGGGTGTATCCTGTGGGTATGGAGCCCCTTGGGTTTGTTCATATGAATCACAAATGCAAAACAGGGAACCCCTGTATACTAAGAGAAGAATGTTCCTGTACTAGGTGGGAACTGAGGCTGTAATAGAGAAAGGGAACAAATTGCTCTCTGAGGGCTCCTCTTGTCCATCACAAACATGTCTGTCTGCTAGAAGTAGGTTGTTAAGCCTGCCTTCTGTTCTATGTGGAAGCTGACTTGCTAGTGAGTTGGTTATAGAAAACCAGACTTGGAAGTACTCCCTCCCCTCTCCAAATAGGGATGGATGCACAATGAGAACTAGTGGATACCAAAATCAAAATGAGAAAAGGACAAGGCGGGTGTGGGGTGTGGGTGGGGGATGGGATGGGATGGGACTGTATAGTCAGGAGCCCTTAGGTAAGCCTGGTTCACATGTCCCGTGTCTCTGTTACAGAAGTCAAACTCTGGTGCTTGATGACCCCCCCCCCCAATCTCTGGTGTCAAAGCTTTCCTAGCACACCTATCAGTTCAGCTCACAGGGTGCTGTACCAGTGAGAAAGGTCAGCCAAAATACCATTCTCCAACTGAAGAGCAGCTGAGGGTGGCCAAATGCTGTAATCTGCCGGACTCTTGGACTCAGGTGGTCCACCTCACCAGTAGAGACAAAGGCTTTGTGCACATAGTAACACTTCATTCACCGATATGCTCACTAAGAGGAAAGGCCGTAAGAACTACCCTTTCCTGTCTGCCCCTGCTCCCTGCCCAGCCCTCTCCTATGGTCCAGTGGGTTACCTCAAGAGCCCTTGGGTTGAGAAACACCTGGTGAGGCCACAATGGACAAAATTACAAGGCTGAGGGAAAGTAAAATCTACAGCATAAGCCAAGAAATGACTCAAGAACTTTAAATAGAAAAGACATAGAATTATCCCTGTCTCCAAAGAAGGGAACAACTACCTTCGGTTAAAAAGACATGGTATTGGTGGATGATACACCTGAATGCAGCAATAATCTGAACTTGGCCATGCCTCAACTTTTCAGGTAGACTACGCATGTATCTAGATTTGTGTGTCAGAAGTTGCTGGTCAATTTGGGAAATGTTTGTTCTAAGATAGGATTGCTCTAGGCTGTGCTTGTGCTCAGTGGCTTTGCCTTGCCTTCTGCTCTGCTGCTTCAGTGTGTTTCCTGTTCCTTCTGGGTTCTGGAGGTTCTAATCTTTGTGCACTGGCAGGAAGAGCACACTGAGACAGTAGTTCTGCTGGCAGCAGTGGTTGTGATGGACAGTGTGGTTTCTGTTTTGTTTGCCAGGCACTGTTTGGTGCTCCCAGCATTTCTCGCTCACCACAGAGGAAGTTCATGGCTTGTATGAGATCACAAGGCTACCACAAAACCGGGTCAGAACTCTAACCCAGCTCTGTTCAGATACCAGAGCATATGGCTTTTGCATAACATCAGGCTGTTTCAACTATCCAGAACACCAAATTATAGATGAAACGAGTCTCTGAAAATAGACTTAGTACTTTTAGGATGTTTCTACCTAGACAGTCTGGACCAGCCTTTAAAGTCAGCACACTGGAGACTTCACCTGCTATCCAGCTCACAGCCAGAGTCTGCATGTGTCCCCATATGGTGTAGCCATAACTTGCCTTACTTGTTTATATGTACATAGGCAGCACAGACCGAACCGTAGCAGTGAACTTGAAATACCTGACACCATAGCCACTTATTTTGTACTTGGATCATTCTTCTCAGCTATTCAGAATCTTTAGGCACCATGCATTAGTCAGCCTATAGATATTGGTTCAGTCAGCTACACCTTCATGTGAACCAGCTACACATTCTGTCACTTGTTCAGAAAGGGTAAATCTTTTGGGTCAGGAAAGCCTGACACCTGTGTGATACTCAAGTTTTCCAAGATTCTAATTGCCACTTAGATTTTAGGCCCAAAACACTGGCACAACCCTGTAATCTTAGCACTCTGGGGGCTGGGACAGGAGGATCACAGGTTAGAGGGTAGGATCCTAAAACCAAAACCGTGTCCTGTTACTGTCAGGAAGCAATGTCCACTGTTGCCTGGACCGAAGGGCCTACCTTCTCTCTGAAATGCTCACTAAGAGCTGCACTGCTCTGGATGCCTGTGGCTCTGGGAAGCACATGGCTCGAGGGCAGAGGCAGTGTGGCTGCCAGTGCTGTGTCTTGCCCGGTGCTTTCCAGAAACAACCAACACTCGTCCAGTGTGGGCCCTTGTAACTCTGCATGCCTTGTGAAGGAAGGGTGCAGCACTGTTTGGCTTGTAGTGTCAGGAGCCTGAAACTCCCCAAGTCTTTTGGTCCTATCAACGCAGACAGTAAAAGTGGCAGATAATGTTTTACTGTGATGAAAATGGTCTTGACCTTGAAGGTCCCAGGGATCAGGCTTTGAGAGCCCCTGTTCTGTGATGACATTGGAATATAACTAGAGCTCCCTGTCTTACTTCTTCACATTTTAGGCAGGTAGTTTAAAAGTATGAATCGAATCTTGCTGGGTGTTGGTGGTGCACGCCTTTAATCCCAGCACTCGGGAGGCAGAGGCAGGCGGATCTCTGTGAGTTTGAGGCCAGCCTGGTCTCCAGAGCGAGTGCCAGGATAGGCTCCAAAGCGACACAGAGAAACCATGTCTCAAAAAACCAAAAAAAAAAAAAAAAGTATGAACCTTGACATTAAAAGACCACTCGACATTAGATACTTTTAAAACTGCGTGCCTGCATGCATGTGTGAGTGCGTGCGTGTGTGCACTCAAGTGTATGTGAGTAAGGAGGCTAGGAGCACATACTGGATCTCCTGGAGCTGGCGTTGGAGGTGACTGAGTAGCCTGGTGGACCTGACAGTTCCACCTACATCTTCACTGCATTAAGTCATGTTCCTTGTGTAGCCAGCTCATGACACTCACCCCTTGCTGCAATGGGTCCTTTTCTTGGCTTTCGCCTGCCTGCAGTGGGCCCGGGCTCTGCTGAAGCTGCTGGACGATGCTGTCAGGTGCCTGAACAGTGATGTACTGGGCCAGGGTCTGCACACAGCTGCAGCAGTGCTCCAGCGCCTCTTCCTTGGACTCCCCACTGAACTGTACACGGAACATGCGGCTCTTGTTCTGTGGGAAAGTCAACTATCATCACTGAGTGTTGTTTGCTGTGGGGTCTTGTGGTGAATGTGTTCTTGCTTGTTGGGGGCAAGCAATTACAGAAAAGCCAGGAACTTGTTTCTGTGCCTTGTTAGAAGCCTTTCCTCATGCATTTTCCTCAGGCAACCGACACTAGCAAACTGGATGGTCACTCTTCTGACTTGACGGTAGACTGGTGTTTTGTCTTGTTTTCAATACAGATTTTACAGCTGATATTTTTTAACTTTTAGGATAGCATATAAAATAGTAAGTCACAGCATCTAATTCCTTAAATAGGAAAATCTGAAAACAATATACGACAATCTTGGTTCAACATAATGTTTCTGAATGAGAAGGGAAGAGCGGACAGACTGGGGGATGACTCTGTGAGTAAAGAGATCGCCGTGCAAATGTGAGGACCCACACTGGATCCCCAGACACTGCAGCTCTGCCTGTAATCCCTGCACTGGGGACTGGAGGCTGGAGGATCCCAGGGTCTCGGTGGCCAGACGACCTGGCTGAAATAGTAAGCTCTGAGTTCAGTGAGAACCTGCCTCAAAAAAAAATAAGGTGGAGAGGGACTGAGGAGACTGAGCTCTGACCTCGATGAACATCCTGTACACCTGGGTGCTTACACAGGAGGGAAAGGAGAGGAAGCTGGCTGCCATAGTAAGTGGGGTAGTGAACTTCCGGGGAGGAGGGCACAGGCAGATGCTCAAAGCCCGTGCACCTCACTAATAACTCTAGTGCCCTTTCTCCTTAGGATACCTGACTGCTACACAAGTCACATAGGGGAAAGCCTTTCGTTTCCAATATGAGTCACATCCTCCAGCAAAGTGACAAATGTGGGACAGGTGTAACTATAAACAAACAACCCTCCCTCCCAAACCTAGATGTGACAGTTCATCAGAGTTAGGATGGTAAGCTTAAAAACAGACCTGGGTTGTAATAACATGAAACCATTAGTAACAGTTTCCTTCTTCCAGGCTAGTATTTTGTCTGGATGAATCAACCTGCATAAAGCTACTGAATGCATTTGTTCAGCTTTTTTTTTCCATAAAGAAAGCAGGTGCTGAGAGGAACACCCTTTTTACTATATGTAAATATGTAAAACACATGTGTTAGTGTGAAAACACTTCTGACCTCAGCAAAATTATGAAAGTTCCTATAAGCCAGTTGTTGCTTTTCCCTGGATCAATTTATTCTGTTTAAATAAAACTCATCAAAACAGAGCCAAAGTCTTGGACTCTAGGGGGTGTGTAGCATGCTCTACCCCTCACCACCCTGCTTCTATTGGTATTTCCATTTACTTTCTGAGTGTGAGCTAACTGTCATCACTCCCCTTGGACATCTTATGAATCCGGATCTGTTAGAAGACATCTTAGAGCTCTCCTATATAATACATAATATACAGGTTGTATTTTGTGCATATTTTTAAGCTACAGTGCTGTAGCCTAATTTTCTATTCAATGGGTGTATAAAAATAGAAGTATAGCTCTTTACTTCTGAAAGCTGGAGCCTATCCCTTTATTTAACTGGCCTCCTACTGACAGATATTCAGGTTGCCCCAGCCTTCCCCTATCACAAACCACACAGAGAGCTTTATAAACTCTCAAAGTGTCTTGTATTAAAATTGCAGACTTGTCCATGTGCCTATTCCCTGTGCATTCCAGCACTGAAATATTTATTCATTTTCATCACATACTAGGTAAACAGATTTTGAAACTTGCATGTCTCTGGTTATAAATTGAGCTTGAAGATTTTTCTTAAACTTCCTAGCTAATTTGTCTTTTTCTTTTGTGTGTGCTTATTACTGCTTTTAGCCTTTGAGTCTTTTGGGGTGAATAATTCCCAAAGTATCAATTCATTAGAAGCAGCCTTCCGTGAGGAAAGGAAATGGTATGTTAGCCACCCGGTTTCTCACTTGGTTATTTTGAACTCTTCCTATTCTAGGTGCTGTAGGAAGATACCTGTGTGATCCTTTACCCTAAGAGTCACAGGCACCAAACCCAGGAACTTTGTAACTGCTGAGAAGCTGCAACATAAACACAGCAAGTGAACAGGCACAAACACCTTCAGCATTTGTGACTCTGGATGGAGCACATGCAGGAACCGGTTTAGACCCTTAGGGCTTACTGAGAGGGAAGACCTTATGAGTGATGTCAGTGCCTGCCTTCCCCATCTACATCTATCAAGTTCTCAGGAGGAATCCGAGCTTAGTCTGGAGCCAGAAATGCACCTCAGTGCACATAGACCCAAGCTAAAAGCAGCACACACCGGGGAGACTGTTAAAAAAAAAAATCAAACAAAAAACCCCTCACCACATCTTACATCCTCACTGCCAACTGGCCAACCAAAAGGTGTGCTAGGATGAGACTCTTCACATTTATTTTCAAGGATCTTTCTGGGAACAAAAGGGTCTTTAAAAAAGTTTGTGTAAACTGGGCATTGGTGGCACACGCCTTTAATCCCAGCACTTGGAAGGCAGAGGCAGGCGGATTTCTGTGAGTTCAAGACCAGGCTACAGATCTACAGAGCAAGTGCCAGGATAGGCTCCAACGCTACACAGACAAACCCTGTCTCGAAGAAACAAAAACGAACAAAAAGTTTGTGTATACACATCTCTGTGTGTGTGTGTGTGTGTGTGTGTGTGTGTGTGTGTGTATGTGTTTGTGTGTGTGAGAGAGAGAGTGTGTGTGAGTGTGTGTTTGTGTGTGTGTGTGTGTGAGAGAGAGAGAGAGTGTGTGTGTGTGTGTGTGTATGTGTGTGCGCGTGCGCGCTCTTGCACGTGAGCCCACAGAGGCCAGAAGAGGGTTTCAGATCTAGAGCTGCAGTTACAGTAGTTGTGAGTGAGCAGCCTGGTGTGGGTGCTGGGAACAGAACTCTGGCCCTCTTCAAGAGCAGTAAGTTCTGTCTACTGAGCTATTTCTCCAGCTCCAAGAAAAACATTCTTAAATTCACAAACTGTCAAGACAGTCTCTGCTGTCAGTCACCTGGGGAATTACAGTATTTGAATTGGTTCTGATGGGAAGTAGATGGTTTCAAGTTAGGTAATAACAGAAACTCCACCTTCCACAGACCTCCTGAGGACAGGAAGTGAGGCTGAATGCTGGCTGTCTCCACTCAGCAAAGCAGGGGCTTTTCTTCCCAGGAGGGAGCGGGCTCAACCAGTGCTGACACCCTGATAAGCCACTCTACAGCAGCTAGTTGTCACCCTGCCGGGATGATGTGCTACCCCAGTGCCACACAGAGCCAGGGAGGCATCAGAGCGCTCACACACCCATTGTACTTTCCTATGAGGGCCTAAAAATACAAAGCCACTACCAAGGACTCTGACCTGACTGAATACCTGAACTGTCAGAATGTTCAGGAAGACAGAAAACTTCCATGCTGAGGGATCATCTGTTCAAACTGCAGCCTGGTCTTGAGGCCCAAGAGGTCAGACACTAACCCTGGAGTGTTGAGAGGTCAGGCCTTTAGGAGGCCATTAGATTACAGGGAGAGGTTCTTGCACTGTACCATTTTGAGACATTTTTCAGCAAGAGGGCCAGTCCCTTGAGCCTCAGAGACTGCAGGCTATATAAACCCTTTTTCTTCATGAAGTAACCTAGCTGGTTATTTCATTATAGCAATGGAAAATTGACTAATACATTCCAAGAACAAGTTTCAGTGCATTTGCTTTGAAACCTCAAAGCCCTGGCTTGACAAAATCAACAAAATTTCTTTAGTGAGTCACTGGGATGAGAAACAAAGTCCATACTGGTTTAGACTGACTCCTCTTATCCAAAGTGCCCTCCTTCTATAGGAATTAATGTCTGCTGTAAGCCAACTGGCCATTATTCTCTCTAGTGATCAGAACTGTTCACTGGAGGGAGACCCACCTCACAAGCCTATTTTAGTCTGTATATCCTGCCCGAGGAGAGAAAACAATGTTTACTATCTGAAGAATCTAAATAATGTTAAATTTCTGCTACAGGAGTTTGACCTTTACCTCTATTTGTCAATTTAAACAATAGTACATATTGCATAGTACTTAGGAATTGAAGTGATCCAAAGCAAGAAGCCAGCGAAGACAGAAGGTGGAAGTCGACAGTTGTTATGTGACATTAAGGCAGCAGAGAGGAGAAAAGAAACATGATTTTGCTAAGTGCAAAAGCATTTGGGGAGGCCTGCAAGATAGGTTAGTGTAAAGGCACCTGCTGCTAATATACCCAAATGATGCTCCACCACCCCACAAGGACACTTGCTCAACTATCTTCATAGCAGCTCTATTCATAAGAGCCGGAAACTGGAAACAACCTAGATGTCCCTCAACAGAAGAATGGATAAAGAAAATGTGACACATGTACACAGTGGAGTATTACTCAGCTGTTAAAAACAATGACATCGTGAAATTTGCCATTGGAGTGGATCTGGGAATGAGGGAGAGAAACTGGGAGGAGGGGAAACTATATGATGCAATACATGAGAGAATAATAAATAAACTGACTCAGAACACTACCTGTGAACTGGTCGTGTGGGCTTTCTTATTAATGTAAAATGTTAAATGTCAGGACTGTAGCCATCTTGAGGTACTATGAGCATAAATGACATCTGAGATGAACAACTGTACTGTGACAGGGAAGTATTTGTAAGTCCACTGTGGGAAGTTCCATACTATGGCAATTTGTCAACCAGATCACAGCAGAAAGAACTGACAAGTTAGAGGTCACTGAAAATCCCTGTAGGTTCATAGACCCCCTGAAATCTGTGAGGCTTTTTGGGGTCTGTGCTCTAGGCTAAGGTCTGTCCACTAGATGTTCTTGAGCTCTCCTTTAATTCCTAAGGTTTGTGAGTTACGTGAAAATTAGCACCTTTCCCCTAGATGTCATTATTATATGCTCAGTGGATGTTAACAAACTGGTTTCCATGGTCATTTTTGAAGGGGCATCATCTAGGTGATGAGTTTGCATGTTTCTCTCCCGAGGATTAGCCTTCATGTTTAACACAACTAGCAAACAAAAAGGAGTTTTAGGTTTTAAAGATTTACTTGAATTATTTATTTATGTGTATACGTGCGTGGATGCCCACAGAGGTCACAAGGGAAAGTAAGATCCCCTGGAGCTAAATTACAGGTGGCTGTGGTCTGTCTGGCCATCCCATGGGGGTCAGAGTGTATCTTATGGGTGTGGGTTCTCTCTGTCCATTTTATGGGTCCCACAGATTGAACACAGGGTATCAGGCATGGCAGCAAGCACCTTTATCCACTAAGCTGTCTTACTGGCCAGGGACTTTTTTGTTTTGAGACAAGGTTTCTCTACATAGCCCTGGCTGACTTGGGACTCACTATGTAAACTATGTAGTCTCAGAGATCAGCCTGCCTCTGCTTCCTGAGAGGTGGGATTAAAGGTGTGCACCACCATACCCAGATCTTATTTTTTAATATTACACTGAGAAAAAATGAACATACATATTCAGTGGAATGTCAAAAATACTGCTTTAAACATCTAACTCACCAGACACATAGTGCCAACCCAGTGCTCAGAGCAGAGAAGCTGCATGGTCCAGCGCCTTACCGACCGGCCAGGCAGCCCTGGGCAAACCTTTCTTCAACACGTCATCTTCCCATCACTGGTTCCCCCAACCCAGAAGCTCCCTATACCCAACCCTGCCAAACACACAGCAACAGGAGGAGTGAGATATTAGTGTAAACACGGCTGGCCATGCTCTGGGTCATCTTACCTTTATCGTTGTTCCAAACAGAAGACAGTCCACTCTTCTTACAATCTTCAACCAGCTCTTGCTGCCAATGAGTGAAAACCCTTCCTGAAACAGCAATTAGGTGGAGTTAGTGACAGAAGCTGAAAGGGTCACTGGAGATACAGCGTTGCTGCTTCCTAGGAACAAGCTGGTGCCTGTTCTTAATTCACACCCATGGAAGTGACGCCACCAAATGCTGAGGTGAACACCCCACCAGTGCCATTTAAAAAATGGTTCTTCACCCCTTTGTATTAAAACAATACCAGAGTAGCAAACATTACATTCATACTTGCTGTAAAACACATTTCTAGGCTTCTGGCTTTGCCTGAACCACCTCCTATTCCCAAGAAAAAGGCTTTGCTATTCTTGTTTTTGAGTTTATCAGACCCAGTGCTACCATCATGGTGAGATTCCTCATCATAACAACCTTATTTTCCCAATAATAGAAAACATAAGGCCATTTTTTTGAGTATTTACTTCTTTTTTACATATAATAGGGGTGGCAGCAGAGGACACACAAATCTCAGAATGCTGAGAGGGCCTCGCACTGTCTGCAGAATGGACATCAAGCTCTTAACCCTGAGGTAGAAAGAACAAAAATTCCTGTGGACAGTTTCTTCACCTGAGAAAGTCAAGAACTTAAAGGTCAAGTAAACAGAAGAAAATGCCCTTGGTCATTCCAGCCTCCTCAGTTTCTCTTTCAAAATCCCTAGTGATAAAGTTTCCTTGGAAAGTCACCAATATTTTCTTTTTAAAATCAGAACAGGAAGTCAGGCAAAGCATTTATGGTTTCCCCTTAAAACTTCTTCAGTCTTGCATGGTGGTTCACACCTGACATACTCAGAAGGACTGAGTAGGGAGGGTGGCTACAAGTTTGAGGCCTGCCCAAGTTTCATAATGAGACTCAGTTTCAAAATAAAAACAAAAATTCTCAGATTAGTAAAAAGAAATGTGTAATTATGACATCCCAAATGATAAGCTGTTTCAGGCGGCAGGCTGTGGAGACGGTATAGAGTACATATTAGTTCAGTGCTTACGGGGATAATTTGATAATGCTGATACTGCAAATGTGTTTGTCCTTTACCCTAATAGTCCAAGTGTTGAGGACACATTTATAGGTCAGCCTGCATTCATTCTGACATGATGCATGGACAGGATAGGCATTACTGCATTAAGATTGATTATATTTATTTATTATTTAATCTGGCAGGAGGGAGAAGGTGGAGGGGGCCATCATGCAGGTGTGGAGTTAATTACAATTGTGTGGCCAATACTCAGATCTATTACTGGCTACCTCTAAGAGGACATCTTGCAGGGATCAATCTCCTTCCAACGCGTGGGTCTGGGGACTGAACTCATGTTATTAGACTTAGTGATAGACACCTTTGCCCACTGAAATTTCTCATCAGCCCCTGCTGCATTTTAAAGGTTTTATGTGTATGAGTGTTTTGCCCGCATGTATATATGGGCATCACATGGCTGCAGTGCCTACACAGTCCAGAAGAGGGCAATCAATCCCCTGGAACAGAAATTAAAATAGGTTGGTTGTGAGCCTTGTGAATGCTGGAAACCAAAACCCAGTTCCTCTGACAGAGCTGTAAGTGCTCTTAACTGCTGAGCCATCTCTCTAGGACTTGTCCTCACCTGCATTTGTAAAAGGTAAGAAACAACTCAAGCATACACCAAAGATAGACTGATTGAATTGTGGATGCTGTGTAAGGTAATAACATACAGCTATAAAAAAGAATGAAAACTCCATCAGTGCTGTCCAGTAGAAACAAAATTTGAGCCACATATGTAACTTAAATTTTTCTAGTTATTATTTTAGAAAGATACTGATATATGTCATTTTAATATTTTGTTAATAATTTGATTTATTATATTTTACATAAAATATTTAATAATTTAGCCTAATATATGAAAACGTCAAATATGTAGAAAAATAAACAGTTAAATAGTATTTTTTAAATAATTAAAATTGGTCTGTGAAATCCAGCATGTTTCTTTAAATAATTTATTTGACCTTTATTTTATGTGCATTGGGGTAAAGGTATCAGATCCCCTAGAACTAGAGTTACAGACAGTTGTAATCTGCCATGTGGGTGCTGGGAATTGAACCTGGGTCCTCTGGGAGAACAGTCAGTGCTCTTAACCACTGAGCAATTTCTCCAACCCAATCCAGCATTTTTACACTCACTGTGGGTACTATATATTTTTCTTTATTATTGGTGTGTGTGTGTGCACATGTGGAGGTCAGAGGTCAGCCGACAGGAGTGTTTTCCCTCCTTCCACCTTTTACGAGGGCTCCAGGGGTCAAATTCAGGTGGTTGGGCTTATGCAGCAAGCCCTTTCCTGCTGAGCCACATCACAGCCCCAAGTTAGTAATGTGAAATGCAGCTCTAAAAACAAGAGTTTAAAAGGAAAACATTTTATATCACATCCACTTTTAAAACTATATATTGAAATTAAATGATATTTGAAAGCCAGGTCTTTTTGCTGTTGTTTTGCACTTCATATCCAGCCTGTCTGCAGCACAGAATGGAGGGGCAATCTCTGGCCTGTGCCTGACTCTCCCCTTGGTCCCTTCACACTCTGACCACCTTTATTTTGCTGGCCTTGGGCAAAGTATCCCAGAGGTTCTTTGGCTAGAACGGCAGTGGGTCCCAAGGGGCCTTACAGTGCCCATCACTGTAAGGGCAGTTGTACACAGTGGCTCTCCTGCATGCTGTACTGTGCAGCTCATTTCCAGACCCCCCCAAATCCCACCTAATACTTGCCATGGTAGATCATGTCATAATCTGAGTACCCGTGAAGCTAAGGCAGAAGGATTGCCATAAGCTCAAAGCCAGCCTGAGCTACACAGTGAAGTCCACAGTGAGGCCCAATCTCGAAAAAGTCAACAATAAAAACTCTCCATAAACAAAGAGGAAGCCATCAAGAGAGGTAGCAAAGGACCCAAAGACTTGGGTGCTGAGTCCAGCTGTGAATAAGCTAAGTCCAAGGATGGCCACAGGAACACCTTTGTCCTCACCCTCCCGTGTTTCTTTCCCTCACTGAATGCCCCACCCCGCCCCTTTCCAGGGTCTTCCTATGTAGCCCACACTGGCCTCCAACTTGAGGTCCTCCTGTCTCAGCCTCCCAAATGCTGAGATTACAGGTCTGCTTCTCCACACAGCCTCAGGTGCCTCCTGGCTCCAACTTTTCTGACCAGTGTAAGCCAATTGCTACTCAGGAGGACGTCATGGCAGGTAGGGTCACTGGTACTCAGCAAGATAAACCAACTTTAAACCCATGACAAGTGTGACTTGATGAGCTTTGAAGTGAACAGGGCACGTCACTTTCAAGAAAATGATAAAGCATTCCCACCTGCTACAAAGACCCTGAATCCGAGGAAGCAGCATAGAGACTGTAGTTACAAAAATAGCTCGATGACTAACCGCTGGTAATCCTCTCAGTTCCAAACTCTGGGTGCCAAAGGCTTCCTGATGAAGGGGAGCAGGCATTTAGGTGCCAGGGAATATATTTTAAAAATGAGATCCTGCCGAAGCTTCGGGGATATGTTTCTACTCACTTAGGAAGCTCCTAGTTTATGAGGTTCAATTTACACTGAAAACAGGAAAAAATATCCACATAACAGAGTCTTTGTAGAATGCAATGTGAGGGAAGGAAAACAAAGCAAAAGGAATTTGGGTCCTAAAAATGTATACTTTCAACAGTATAACCAATGATTATCAAGGTAATAAAAAAGAGCAATGAGATAGGCAATAAAAACAATTTGTGACTGAGTCAGGGTTAGATTTTAGTCTAAGACTTGAATGTGGATATTTCCACTTCATTAAAAAATTTGCAATGTTGTGACAGAGAAGGAATAACGGTCTAATTCCCAAGGGCCAGCCATCCCATACTTCCCACGAAAACAAACTGCATGCCTCAGACTGATGGTTACATCCAAGCTGAGATGCCACACAGGAACCTCCTGGGTTTGGATGCTGTGCCTGATGTCTCTGTCTCTGTCTCTGTCTCTCCCTCTCTCTCTCTCCCTCTCTCTCTCTCTCTCTCTCTCTCTCTCTCTCTCTCTCATCTATCTATCTATCTATCTATCTATCTATCTATCTATCTATCTATCTATCTATCTATCTATCTATCTAAAACCAGTTGGTCTCATGCTGAACTACAGACAATTTAAAATTAAGATAAATAGTAAATAGCAGCCACAATATAAGGCCCACTACGTGGCACTGATTACACCAGTCATTCCTGTCAATTATTGGACCATAGTTAAGAGGCTGTTGTCATAAATACCTACCTGCTGCGCATGCTTACCCCAATAAAGCCACCAGCTATGCCTCTGACTGGCATCACATGGTAGGTTGAACCAATCAGCTCTCTCTCTGGTTCTCCACAGGCTGTGTCCACAGGCTTTCTTTCCAAGCACCGTACAAAGCTTTTATCTTCCCTAATAAAGCCTGGAGACACCAGAGGCCCCTTGCACTGAGAGTTTTCCAGACTACAATCTCACCCTTGTTTATTCCCAAATGAAACCTTTTGCCTGGAGATCTATTTTCTGTTTGCATTTTTTGAGACATGGTCTCATCACACAGTCCAGACTGCCCTAAAACTTCCAACCCCTGGTCTCCACCACAGATTCTTTTTTTTTTTTTGTATCCTGTAATGTAAATTTTCAAACATGCATACAGGAGTAGAGAAAAAATAGCACAGTAAAGTGATCTTCTGGCTACAACTTCATCACACAGCCCATGTTACTTCATTTACACCCACTCGACAGCCACCCACTCCCTGGATCATTCTATTCTGAAGCTAAGACAGATATCTGTAAATATCACACAATATATATTTCTTCAAGGCTAAGGTCTCTTCTTAAAACATAACCACAAAACCAATCCTTAAAAATTAACAACTCTGCCAGGTGGTGGTGGCACATCTCTTTAATCCCAGCACTCGGGAGGCAGAGGTAGGCAGATCTCTGTGAGTTTGAGGCCAGTCTGGTCTACAAAGCCAGTTCCAGGATAGCCAAGAACAGCTAAAGCTACATAGAGAAACCCTGT